AAAAAAAAAGTCATTAACTCATGTGATATGATATTTGTGTTTTCTAACTAAAATTTGGGATTCGATTTTCATATTGAGTATAGATTCCCAACCATTTTACTCTAATGCGAATCCACATACATCTTTATCAAATAAAAAATATAACTAATTTTTACCATGAAAATTAATTATCAAAGAGTATTACACGAACATAAATAACTTTATGGGTATTGATAACTTTCTATTTGTCTGGGCAAACTTCAGACACAACATGGACATATGGGACACACAAATAGTACTATACAAATAAAAATGGTGAAATATATAAATTTATTCTTTGTTTATTTCTTTGGAATATCTTAAAGAAATTCACGGTCTAAAATAAGATTATAAGTTATATATGGATATGGTGAAAAAGAGTTACGTAACATCTTCATTTTTTTTAAATAAATATTATTAAATAATGAGCAATCTTGTAATTAAATATTATTAGATTATATTTAGAATTATTATTTGAAATTAAATATAAAGAATTATTTTATTAAATAATAATAATAATAAGGTAGTTTTATTGAATTATATTAATTTATTTAATCTAAGAGAAGAAGGGAAACGAGTCGGATTGACCCAGTTTAGTAAACTTTTAAGAGAGGAGTTAGGCAGAGTTATGAAAATCTGCCTTAGTTTGTGTTCTGGAAGGATTGAGAGCGAGAAGGGAGAGGAGGAAGGAGTTTTGAGGAGAAGTGTTCAAAATGTTTCAAATTGTTCCTATCAGTCACAATAAGGTATGGGGGAGGGAAATGAGTAATTTATGTGTGGGATTACAAGAGAAGAAGGGGTAGTGGGAGAAATCCCTAAATTCCTAAGATTTTCTAATTCTTTTTTGAAGTCAAAATTAACAATCCAATTAGGTTATATATTGAATTGTAACTATGTTTGTTGTATTATTTAGTGAAAATGGTTATCTGATAGGTAATTGAATTCATTGGAATGTCTTTATGAGTTAGGGTTCTTAAGAATTTGGGATATTGTTAATTGATGTGTGATTTCATGAATTAATGACATATAATATGTTTTTTTGAGTAAAAATAAGTGTTTTTGGCCGATTGAATTGATAAAAGGATGTGTGTATGTTTGATTTTGAGTCTTAGTGATGTTCTATTTGTCCTATATTTTCTAAAAAATGTGTTAGCACTGGCCGTGAGTCCTTGGCACTGGGCTTGCATTCATACGGATGAATGTGAAGCCTAGGAAAGGTTAAGCCGCGTGTGGAACGTATCACACCGAGCGTAATCAATTTGGGGAGTCTTTATTTATGCTTACCGTAGGGAAAAATTGTAATTTTGTCGAACATGAGATTATTGTATGCTCTTCGTTTGCGCTTGGCATTGGGCGAAATTATAATTTCGTCGGATGTGAGATTCTGTGTACTCTCTGTTGTGACTTCCGCAACTTGGTGAAGCCCGATCTAGAATATGAATAATATATATATATATATATATATATATATATAAGAATTACAATAATGGTAACAAAGTTCAAATCTATAATCTTATGCATATCTTCACTTCTATCACTAGGTTGACTTTATAGTGATACTTGAAGAACATATGTATATGTTTCTCTTTTCCTTCTTTCAAATTTTTTATTGCTCCCTACATTCTCTTTAATTTTTCTATATGTATATTGTCAATAATCAATTTCAAAGAAAAATATTTTTCTTTAGATAAATTATTGTTTACTTATTCAAATAAGCACAATATTTATTTATAGGTTTTAAAAGATGTTATGTTATTCCTTGATATATGTGCAAAAATTAACAAATGTTGCTAAGTATTGAAATAATTGTATATAATGTTTGAATGCATTTACCTATACATATTTAATCATATTATTGAAAAAAAAACTCAAGTTCCACATCGACTAGAGATTAGACAATTAAATAGTATATAAGTGAAAAATAACTCTCACCTTATAAGCCGATTTTGTAGGGTTGAGTTAGACTCAAATCTACTATTCTAAAATAGTATTAGAATTATCTTAGATTCTTAAAAATGGGTCACCTACCATTTATTCACGTACCAAGCCCAATAGTGTTGGATATGAGGAAGTGTATTGAGAAAAACTCAAGTCTCATATCGACTAGAGATTAGGTAATTAAATAGTATATAAGTGAAATACATATATAATAATAAACATGTAGATTAATTGGTAAAGTGTTATTCAAGTTTAATTAATGATATTAACTCGAGTCCTAGTATGAAATTATATTAAATATTCGAATGAAGAGTAAATTCAAGTTAAATCAATGGTCTCAACATGAGTTTTAGTATGAAATTATGTTAAATATTTGAAAAAAGAACTTTATTATTTATAAATTTTATTCGGTTGTTCTAACAAGATTCTCTCCAAACTAATACAGATGATTTAGATAAATAAAACAAGCTCGATCATATATTATCACATATTTGTACTTCTTTTTTTTTTTGTCATTTACTTATAACTACTCCTACCTCATGATAGGCATCAAGTGTATTAAACTTATAACTACTCCTACCTCATGATAGGCATTAAGTGTGTATTAAACAATTTAGATGATTAAACATGTAATTAAAATAAAAATTTTGAATTATTTTTTAATTAATTTGTTATCATTTAAACCCCATTTCAGTATTTCATCGAAAGAGTTTCTATTTATAGAAGCCAAATTCGATGTCTTATATTTAGTTAGAGGAACAGTCTCAAATCTCATTGCAATATTTTGTATCACCAGTACTAGTATATAAAATCAGTTCTGAGTTAAGAAAATATATGAAATTTTACGACATATAGCTCCATTTATTTGAAGAATTTATTTTCAAATTCTGGATAAGAAGTGGAAAATTTGGCAGAGATGCATGACAGATGACCCCCTAAATTCTAAGATCTCCCATGATTGCGGATTGCTGATCGAAGATTCTTGCAAGTTGTAACGATTATAATTAAGTTAATTAGTGACAGTAAGCTGTATACTTCAAATTTAATTGTCTTTTTACTAAGACTTCTGTGACAGTAAGCTGTATACTTCAAATTTAATTTTGTCTTTTCACTAAGACTTCTGTGTAATTTTTCTTTTGTAAACAAAATATTTTTGTTTAAATTATCAGAAATGTTATATATAATGACAAATAAAAAGTATCACAATAAATACTATATATATATAATAAAAATTTATTTAACATATAAATATACGTACAGTCTTAATACTAATTATAATTGAGATTCAATAATATATATTACATATCATATATATTTATATTTTTTAATAATATTTTAACATATATTATATTATAAATAAAAATAATTTTTAATTATAATAATGTGTCACAATAAGGTATATATATGTTATTATATGATAATTTTTTTAACTTATATTATAATATCATGAATTCTACCGGTTTCATTAATAATTAACTTGTACAATGAATTAACTATTTTAATAAAATCTCTATTTAATTACATATTTTTATTTACAAATTCAAGGAATAAGAAAGTATAATACTATTCATACCGACTTGTTATAGATGAATAAAGACTTTAAGGTGTAATATATCCAAGGAAAAGAATAAAAATATGAAACATGGACGTAGATGTTTTTTTTGTAATATTTGTTACTTTCTCCAGGCCCAGAGAATCTTCCTTTCTCTAGAAAGAAATTGTGTTCAGCAAAAGAATACGTTTTCTAAAATGAACAGCTGAATAAATATTAAAAAAGAAGAGCGATAAGATAATAGAATGGACCAAACAAACAAAAGTCCATGTCGGTGGCCAAATGATTGTCGATGTTTTACTCTCTTAATTTGTACGCATCTTGGTATAATGCTATTGTTTAAAGAACAAGTTTGCGATTATTGACTTGAATGAGAATTTCTATACACGGTTTACTCTCTCAGTGTCACGAATCATATGGATTTTAAATTGAAAGGGTTAGTGAATTTGTAATAGTTCTGATTGCTAATGTACAAAATTTATTTATTTTTATTTATTAAAAACAGTATAGAGACAAATCATGTTTTGAGATTAGACACTTTGTATAAAAATGTATTAAAGAGAAATTTGTAATTTTGAATAAATTTGTGAAACTTGATTGGACTTAATTAGTGTTTAATTTAAATGGATTTCTAAATACTGAAAATCCAAGACTAAACAAAATATATAGTTTCTTGTTTCTCGTTTAGAATTAGTAATAGGATTGATATTGATAGTGGTTATGTTTAGATAATTTTTTCTTTGAACACTTATAAGCGAAGAAAAAAAAGAAGAAAGTAGAATAAATTAATTTTTTTATATAAAAAAATAAAAAAATATGCACTTTATCTTTTGAGCAAACTCTCTCATTCAACTTTTTAAAAGTCGTTAAAGTATATATAAGTTAATTTTAATTTTTGAAAAAAAGTTTTATTTATTTTAATTTTTTTCTACAAGTACTTGGTTGAAAAAAATTGTCCAAAGAAAGGTCGCATTATTTGTGTAACACAACCTTAATTGTGAAACATAAACATTGTTGAAATGAAATAATTAACAAATCAAGTTTTAATTTATTTGCGTATATTAAATAGGATGATCCGTTATGAAACTTGATATTTTTGTACAACTCGCACAAAAATACATTAATCAACTTGTTTTACATTGATTTGTAAACAAAAATAATATTTTGCATGTGTCATGCTAGTTGGCATGCAATATACAAATTCGTAGGCAACTAATATTAATTATGATTTATATATCTTACCAATTATAAGTATATGACCTAGTATTAAAAGTTAGTCAAGTGTCAATCATTCTGGTTTCATTTTTTCTTCCCCGTGTCCCTAGTGTACCCATTACATACAACAAATCTTAATAATACGTTAAACCAAGTCTAGTTGACACTTCTAAGTAACAACCAATTAATGAAAACTTCATCTTGAAGAAAATTATAAAGTAATAAATGCATGACGCGCTTTCTTTTCTATATATACGCACATATCACCTAGATATCAAGGGAAAGAAGATACATAGTATCAAACTATTCTTGCTACCATGCTTTCTACTACTAACTACTATTCTCTTCTTGCAACCATTTTCTTAGTGCTAACGTTTCTTTTCCCTTCGAGGGGTCAATTGAGTGCTACATTCTACTCTAGCACGTGCCCTAATGTGTCCTCCATCGTGAGCAATGCTGTTCAGCAGGCTCTGCAATCTGATTCTCGTATTGGTGCAAGCCTCACTCGTCTTCACTTTCATGATTGCTTTGTCAATGTAAAATCCCACAACCAAAATTTCTTCATTTTTTTTATCTCTTTAATTAGTATTTTTTATTCACGAGTATTTCTCAGTTCATCAATGAGCTAAGAGATCAATCTTATTCACGATACTATTTAATTAAGTATAAGGTTGATTATAATTTTTTTGTTGTATTATTGGAAGATTAATGGTTAATGTTATTGTTTTGTTTTAGGGGTGTGATGCGTCCATTTTGTTAGACCAGGGTGGTAACATTACACAAAGTGAGAAAAATGCTGCTCCCAACTTCAATTCCGTTCGGGGATTTGATTTAGTTGACAGCATCAAGAGCTCCATCGAAAGTTCATGCCCTGGAATCGTTTCTTGTGCTGACATTCTTGCACTTGCAGCAGAATCTTCTGTGTCCTTGGTAAACTATCTCTACCATGTTATTATTATATATAATATGCAGTTCGAAACTTCAAAAGTACCTACACACGAAGCTAGCTTATGAAACTATCTTGTTCTTTTGATCTCATTTCAATAATTAAATTCCACTGTGAATCTTGCAGATAAACTCATGTGTAAAACACTAATTAAATAATGAGTATATATGCTCAAATAATCTATAAAAAGATAATGGCAAATTATTATATATGGTAAATTTATTTATTTTTACGAAGATTATTTTAAAATTTAAACCAATTAACGTGACTTTTGATTAATTAAATGTGAATTTATTTACATTAAGATATTATAGAAATTAAACTCTATTTAAAATCACTTTTAAGGATGTGGTATGTTGATTATTTTCTTACTGTCTTGCCTTAGTTGGTTTTTTTAAAGGAAAATTGCGTAACACATGGGCAACTCGATCACAAAAAACGATGTAAAGCAACTTAAAGTTAAAGGATTTGATGTCTCAACATTTTTATAACATCATCAATCACGTTTTCTCTTTCTTCTTGGGAGAAGCATATACTGCCACGTGGAAATACTATAAAAAATCCTAAATTTTAATCTCTAAAACATTATATATATATATATAAAGTATCATTATATTATTATAAATATAATATATATAGGTATATATTTATATAATATATAATTATATAAGAGTTTAAATATGTTTTTAGTCTCTTAAATTTAGGATAAATTTATTTTTGGTCTCTCAAATTTAAAATTAATATTTTTAGTCCTTGTAATTTTAAAAAAATTTATTTTAATCTTTATATTCAAATTTTGTTAAAATATATATCAAATATTATTGTATAAAATTTACCTATAGTGTCTTTATTAGTGAAAATATCGCATTAAATTCAATTGATATTGCATAACTGTCTTAATTTGTTATTTTTAGATATGTTATTGGTGATTTGAGGGACTAAAATAAGATTTTTGAAAGTTACAAAAACTAAAAACAACGATTTTAAATTTGAGGGACCAAACAAAAATTTATCTTAAATTTGAGAGACTAAAAACATATTTAAACCTTATATAAAATTTTAAGATTAATTTTGAATATGATCTAATAACATGTTTTACATGTCATTGTAATTTATTTTCACACTTTTAATAATAAATTAATATATATTATATTTATTATATATATGGATAAAAATAATTTTTAATAATATATATTATTTTATTATATAACAATTTTTTTTATATAAATATACTATTTATTATATAAAATTTTGCAGTCAGGAGGTCCTTCATGGAATGTACTACTTGGAAGAAGGGACGGTCTAACTGCGAACCAAGCTGGTGCCAATAGCTCCATTCCCTCTCCATTTGAGAGTCTATCCAATGTCACATCCAAATTCTCTGCTGTTGGATTAGACACCACTGATCTAGTTGCTTTATCTGGTAACTACACTCTATTTTCTTCAACTGGTTTAATTATTGTATGGTCAAGGTTACATGATTTTGACTAATTTTTAATTAGTGACATATTGCTACGTTTTTTATTTCTAAATTTAAACATGTGGTTACTTATCATGCAAAGGTTCATCTCTTGACATCCTATCTAGGAAATAGTAATGATAATGACATCTTTTATAGTATTCTCATGTTAATACTTTTTATTGTAAATTGAAAATCACAAGCTTTTCATAAATTCTATCACTAAATTAAATAAAATGTGAGATCAATAAAATTTGATATTTTTAACAAATTTTAATCGATATAATAAAAGATCAACGGTTAGAAAGAGGTTGTTAGCATTTTTAAATAAACATAATTATAAATTAAGTAATTTGAAAAACAACTACTTATTTATAGTCAGATCAATTTTATATATTACATATTCAAGATGAAAGTTTTGGTTGAAAAGTATATTTGGGATTTTGATCCTTAATAAATATCTTAAGGATATCAATTCCAACTTACATACATCATGTAAAATTTAGCAAAGACATAATAACCGTTTAATAATTTTTCTTTTATCAGATAATATTGTACTATTCATATGCATTTAAATTAGTATCCTAACTTAATTATTATCTCCTTTACATAATAATGCTAATGCACATTTACCTTTCTTTAAAAAACAATTAGCAATGAATTAAATTATTATGATTTTTAAAAAGATGAAATTTAAAAATAATTCCTTATATATGATTGGTATTGTTTCTCTAATCAAAACCAAAATTTTATCTCACAATCATGCATAAATATATATTAATGGGATTGATATTAAATGCAAGTACATATTATCAAAATAAAACTCTATTTCTGATTGAAAAAACACTATCAAATACACATAAATCACTGTACTTAATTTTTTCTTTCTTGAAACCACAAACAGTTTTCCAAAATTAAAGGTGATATGAACTCAACATCTATGCAAACACATAAAATTTTGCTTTTGCATAATGGTTTATATCTAATTGGACTTTTTCATTAGGTGCACACACTTTCGGGCGTGCCCAGTGCCAATTTTTCTCCCAAAGGCTATTCAACTTCAGTGGCACAGGGAGTCCTGACCCAACCCTAAACTCAACCTACTTAGCCACTCTTCAGCAAAACTGTCCCCAAAACGGGAACGGGTCTACATTGAACAACCTAGACCCTTCAACCCCAGACTCTTTTGACAACAATTACTTCACCAATCTTCTCATCAACCAAGGTCTTCTCCAAACAGATCAAGAACTCTTCTCCACCAATGGCTCTTCCACTGTCTCCATTGTCAACAACTTTGCCAACAACCAAACGGCGTTCTTCCAAGCTTTTGCTCAGTCAATGATCAACATGGGTAACATTAGCCCCTTGACGGGTTCCCAAGGAGAAATTAGAACCGATTGTAAGAAACTCAATGGAAGTTGAAGATAAACAAAGAGAGAGCATTACCACAATATATAAACGACCTTGTAAACCCTTTAAGAGAGAAAGAAATAAAGAAAATGATCAAATTTTTCTATAATATAAAATTAATTTGTGCATAACTTAAAATTATAATTTTTGAGAAATTGGTAAGAAGGTGTTTTATAAATTAACTTATGTATAAGTTAATTTTAATTATGCATAAATTAATCTTATTTTATGAAAAAATTTATTTTTTTCTTTTTATTTTTCTCTTCTAAATTTATTCTCGGAGAAGTTTATTTAAACAATTCGTAGTTAATCTTGACACAGTATACAGTTTTGATTTTGCATTTGTGAATGTGAGTGTGGCTAAGAAATAGTTTAAAAATTGATGTAAAATCTTTTTGAATACAAGTTAGAATTATTTTTATGAATCTCTATATTAAAAATAAAGAACATTTTTAATAAAGAAATTCTTAAAAATTATTTTTAGATTTATATTCAAACAAGGTGATACTTTAATTTATGCTTTAATTTCTGTATTTGAGGATGTGATGGATAAAATATGGGTTTGTTTTTGTCTTTGTGTGGGGGGACTACAAAATAGTTTAGATGAGAGAAACTATTGTGGCTTTCGAGCTTTGTATTCTGCTGTCGTTTCCTTGGAAATAGTGTTATATATTTGAAGTATTCTTAATTGATAAATATTTCCACGTGTATTCTGGTGTTTTTCTATGACAACCCGCTTAATAATGTGTTTGATTTGCAAGTATCTGATTCAGTGGTAAAGATTGATTTATGCTCAAGTAAGGTCAGGAGTTTGAATTTTGCCTTGTGTATGCAACCGCGTTAAATCTTGAAATTAATTATCCTATCTTTTGAGGTGTCTCCCTCGTAACGAGAAAATTAGTCACATGCTATCAATATCAATAGTGGATACTCCACGAAAAAAAAAAAGTGTTTGATTTGGCGTCAGAAATATCTAATGCGCAGTAGTTTTGATACTTGGAATTACTGCTTTTGCATAGTTTGATGTGGACTTCAATATGTTTGTAAAAACATATATAAAATGTAGTATAAACAAACTCACGGTGAAATAGATTGAAATCAATTTATAAACAATTATGTTATGCAGTGTTATAATGCTATTCACGAGCATATTGTGTTCTTATAAGTGTTGTTAAGCATTTCAATTAATGATCTTTTGATAAAGAAAAAGAATATTTAATATCATCTCTTTTAAAAAAAAAAAAAGAATTATATAATTTTTGTCACTACTTTATAAATAAAGTATTAAATAAAATTAAATGTATTTAATGTTTTAGAAGTATATATCGCATTAAATACTTATTAACTTATACAAAGAAAGCATAAGAATTAATAATATATATATA